TTCAATATATTGATCAAATGACACTGTCAATTTAACTAAATTACTAAATGATTTGTTGGTCATATGAGCAAAATCATTTGTTAGCGACATGACTTCGTAAAATTGCAACGCGTATATCTTGGGATGATGAACTTCCCAAGAGCTAATTTTTATATGTTATGTGTAAGGTAAGTTACTCTAGATACTCTGAAAAAATCAGCCCAAGAGGCTTTTATGGAGAAGAGTTATTACTACAAAACTAGCGTTAGCGACGTGACACAAAAAAGGACATCAACTTCCACTTCATGCATTTCAATTTAAAAAAGCTTCGAACTAGTATAACATTTTTGAAAACTAAATAGTACATTCTGTAGACGACTCATAAGGGTGTAAAATCCCTACCCGAAGTTTTTTTGAAGTACGCATACATTTTCCAAAAAATTCGATTTACTTTTCGTTAGCGACGTGACTGAGTACAAATATGCAAACGAAAAAATGCTCTTATAATTGAATGAAAAGTTCAAAACAAATTTAAAATGGTACGAATTCTTCCTCAGGATCTTAAGATGATAATAAGACAAAAGTTTTCTTTGTGGAGCTTGGTAGGATCTGTAGAGGATCAGTTTTATGAGGAAAAGTTTTTGAGTCCGATCTTGCTGAAAATTTTATCATAGATGTGGCTCGATCCCTAGAGTTTATCATGAAATTTTTAGATTTTTTCTTCATACGGCTGAAGAGATATTCACTAATTACTTGTTAATTAATTAAATGATTAATTAATTAATTTTAATTAAGTAGCATCTGAAAGAGCCAACATTTTTACATATGTCTATACTAAAAAAACTTATTCAGAAAAAAACACTTGTGTCAAAAATCAAAGTCAAATGAAAGGGGTATGTCCTGTTTTGCCCATATAGATGCACTGAGTAATACCTATCCATTTCAAATTCTACTCTATGGAACAGATTATTTGATTGATATTTGTAGATCAAGTATTATGATTATCCAATGAATTTATTTAAGAACAAAACAGTTTACAAGTATTAAAAATTGGTAAAAAAAAAAAAAAACTTTTGTTTTTACATTGAGAAATTAACAAGTGCAAAAACACTTAATTTTTCTTGTTGAATGATAACTTTTAAAAACCATATTATCATTCATATGATTTTTTCCATTAGTTAAGTCAATATGACCAGCTTCATTGGAAGTAATATGACTTGCATTATCATTATTAATTGAAAATATACGACCAATACTTGTATCAATAATAGAATTATCCATATGATTTTATGTATTAATTGGGTGTGGGTGTGGGTGTGGGCGGGTGTGGGTGTGGGCGTGGGTGTGAGTAAAACCAACACCCACACCCGCGCCCACCCCCCCACCCATGCCCACCCACCCCCCACACACACCCACCCACCCTCCACGCCCATCCACCCCCCACACTCACACCCACACCCACCCTAAGCGAGATCCAACTAAGATAGAATCTGATACGTTTGAAATTTAAGAACAGAATAAGAATAAAAATTAACTGAATTACGTCATTTTTTTTTGATTGTACTTAAGAAAATAACAAAATCAAACACCATTATCGCTAGATGTCGCCAGATAGCGAACACATGTTTCATTTTTGTGTTCAAATAATCAATTCGATGCATTCGATATTATACGTGGTCAGAGTAGAATAAGCAATATTAATTCTTTTCATTATAACATGCAATGCAAAAGTCTTGGCAAAAATATCAAACTCTGTTAGACCGTCTTGATAACTTTCAAACCCATGAATTTTTTTTTGTTGGAAAGAGCAATGTCTGAACTAAAAATTTTGTACCAGATGTATTCCTCCAGAACGAACCTGAAACAGAGGAAAAGCCAAAAGCCAACACCTCTGAAAAAAGTTCCTGCAACATTTTTGCAACTTGAAAAGTTTGTATTGTTCAATTATTTTTGACTGCATGGATCAAATTTGAACAAAAAATACACGAAAATGTAGCATATCAAAAGCTCTATCGATAACAAGTTTGGAAAAATTTTTTGGATCTATTCTTGATTCTTTAATCAAAACAGTTTGAAGCATGAAATTTTTGCAAAATTGACCCTTTTGCAAGATCCATCAGTGTACCAGAACATCAGCCACCATCTCCAAAAATCATCCATGAACTGAATTCTTTTTGCGTTACCTGGTCGAACTATATCTCATTGTAAAATTTAAGCAGAAGGAAAACAATTGAAAAGATATGTTTTATCATTGTAAAGCGGTCAGGTAGTAAGATCGACCAAATTACTTAGACTTCTTCAGAAAAAAACTTTATTTTGGTACAAATACCAAGAGTAAATTTAAATTTCAATACGCCATCAGAAAGAGTACTCTCCTTACACTAGAAAAATCATCACTAAATATGTTTTCTCATTTCTCTTCTGATTGAAAGAAACTAACAGAAAATAGAAAATGATGTTCATCGATAGTGAAGTTGCAAGAACTTTTTTGCCGAGATGTTGATTTTTGACTTTTCCTTTGTTTCAGGTTCGTTCTGGAGAAATATATCTGGTACAAAATTTGTAGTTCAGACATTGCTCTTTCCAACAAAAAAATTTCATGGGATTGAAAATCATCAGGACGGTCTAACAGAGTTTGATATTTTTGCCAAGACTTTTGCATCGCATGTTATTTGGCAGTTCATAATCTCATTTAATTCATATGTAGCCGTTATGCTCCTAGAGCCAGGTCTTCGTCAAACCCTCGATCAGTTCTTCCATTGCTTCAATGTCTGAAACTGCTCTGTAAAGAATATTTTAAAGAATTAAACCTTAACGAAGCATATCTTGATAGCCATTACGACAAATGTTTCTGCAGAGAATGTCATGATCCTTCGGACGTAAACACAAAACGTGGACCTTGGTGCAAACAACTTCATGATTGGGTTCACTTCGATCTTAGTGTAAATCAAGAGCATCAAAAATAATGGAATATATTTAGGGAATGGGGAACCAGCTACTACGGAACATCACCAATCGACTGGGATCAAACTTGAACAATCAATTTTTGCCACTCGATGGTGACAAACTTAACGATGGAACTACATTCAATAGTGATCATCCAGATCTGACCCATTGGATCACTTCACTTTCGCTCGTATGTGGTAGTCGACCAAAATTTACTGCTCGTTCATATTTCAAGGCAAGAAACGGAACAAACTACAATGTTCAAGTTATCCTACAATGCAAACAAAAACCGGATAATATACCGTTCAAGGAGATGCAAAGGCATTTCATAAGACTGAATGGACAACAGTACACTGAAGTACCTTAATTCCTTATGGATTGTTTGTACGATTACAGACATAGCATATGTAATTATTATTGATAGATCGTCTGAGTTATTATATAAATGAATGATCCAGCTGTTAATGACCGTACATTGTATAACCCATTTTTTGTGTATAAGAATTTTGAACGATTATAAGTAGTTTTCTAATAAATTGAGGTTAACTGTAAACTAGAGATTTTCATCTTTATCTACTAAGATAAACATTTTCTTATCATCTTATTTATTTTTCACACCTATGAAACCATTGTAAATCACACAATCTTATAACACTAACTTTAAAAAGTCTGCTGCTGGTGTCATTAGTCTTATGTAAGAGAATGCAATCTGCTTTGCCAAAATATTCGGTAAATATTTTGTAAGTTATATCATATGACGTTCTTCATTGTTACTTCGCAAAAACAGGTTAAGTATAATCCAGCTATTTGCTCTATGTAAGGTATAAAATAACAAATTACAAGGTTTCGATTAATAATATCTAGAGACTTTTAACAAGCATATAGCCATAAGTAAGAAATACACCTCATTCTACAATGTCATTACTTTCTTGATCAACATCGAATCGAAGACGAATGATACAATCTAAGATGAGTTTAGAGAATATATTCCATTGTACACATACTATAACAACAGTTTGGTTTAGTTGAACTACTTGATCATTCAAAACTGTAGCTTATCCTTAAAGATAATTGAAATCAACGACAATGTGTGTTATATAAACATGTTCGTCATCTCCTTCTTCTGCAATAATAGCAATAGTTATCATCAATTGAATTACAATAATCGTAAAAGTATGTAAGAAAAATTTATTGAAAAAAAAAATATATGTTAGATTTAATACAATCAAATCAATTGATTTTAAAAAAATAAAATAAAGCAGTCAAGCTATTGGAATTTAGTCTTTCTTACCTTTGATAACTTGTGATTGCATTATTGTTGTTCTTCTTCGTCGTAAGAAATTATAAGTCAACAGAGCAATGACTAAAACAGATTGACAGATAAGAGGGTGGGTGATGGTGCTGGTTTCTGTCTCTATTCGCTTCCATCCACACCCACACCCACGCCCCTTTTTCAGTCAGAACCATTTGAAAGGGTTCTACGTTTTACTCGATAGAAGAACCCTCAAAAAGGTTCTGAGAAACTCCTTTTTTTTTTCTTTCAGAGCATCAAAGACCATTGATAATCAGATAGCGATTTTTCCTTCGAAAATTGTGTTATTTAATGACTTTCTTCGTTTTCTTATCCAGCATAACCTACACAGTTTGCCAACGCTGCTTTTCGCTTGACGTTCGACAACAGAAGAGTATAATAACTTGATAGTGTCACTGTGTCGATGAATGTCCGATACACAACAATTGCTTTTATATCTTCACGTTGAAAACCTACTAAAATTTAATGACTGTGCTGATCTCTATAACGAGATAATTATTTATACACGACTGATAACTACACTTATTTTTAACATCGCGACAATTGATAGTGTTATTGATATCAAGCATCGGTTTACGAACAATGGTATTCAAGATAAATTGATAATTGTTAATACGCAACTTTATATGTAGTGTTGCTTTCATTCTTTTACAGATGAGATCGATCGATATCATACATAGTCACTTGGATTGCTTTAATCATGACGATAGTATCACTAACAATTTTCCAGACTATATATAAACACTTGAAGCTATGGTGGGTATAGGTGTGCTCCTTGGGTTTCAATGTGTGTTCAGGCATGAATCTTCTTTTAGGATACGCGCATATCCCCCATAGATATCCGTACACACACACTTCACATCTGCCCTCAAGTATGAAGACCAAATGCGTACGCAACCGATCATAAATCAATGTATAAATTGTTTTGTTGCACGGATCTTTTTTTATATTTGACAGAAAAGTTAAATGTAAAATCTTTCGAAATTTTGAATAAACAAAGAAAAAAGGCACACAAACTGTGAAAACAAATCATGGAAAAACATGCGTTTTTTTTTCTTGGTTAAGCACGTTTCTCACATATACGAGCAAAATACCCAATATGTAAGAGGCACTTAATATTTGTTAACATAGCAACAAAAACAAAAAAAAGAAAACTTAACTATCTGTACATAATCACTTTTTTCAAGTTTTGGAAAAAAGACGTTAAAAGAACAAAACTAAAAATCTTCATATTAACCAAATATCACTGATAAAGAAATATCAAAAACAAAAAAAAAATTGTTCATGATTCTCATGCTGTTCGAGCATTACGCATTAATGGTTTATGAATCATTGCTGGTGGTTCACATTCATTTGTTTGTGTTGTGAAATGATTAGAATTTAAATCCCAACATGTTGCACAATAATATTTCATATATTTAAGTGAACGACAAAAATATTGTCCCATATTTGAACACCATTGTCCATTATTACCTGTACATGGTACATTATCAGATACATATGGATCAATTTGAATCTAATAGAAACAAGAATAAGAATAAAAGAAGTATTCATAGATATACAACATACCACTTTACAAAATTTATCACATTCAATCATTAAATAATTAGCTGTGACAGCTGCATAATAACTATGTGCATTGACGAAAACTACACGACCAGAACCTATAAAAAGATAAAAAAAAGAAACTTGATATATGAAGAATGTCATTATTAGAATTTATTCGATCTATTTCTTTTAACTACCAGATTTTTACCTACTAAACAAATCCATGAAATAAAAGCCTTTTCTAGAGAGATCGATGTAAAAGATCTATTAGAAACCTACATCTACACCCACGTCATATTCACAGTTTCTTGCATAAGAGAAAAGTCAACTTAAGCAATCAGCCAATAGAATAATATAAAATTTTACAAGAAGATCATCGAAATGAGTTTTATCTCGATAATATTCGACGAAAAAAGGAAAATGGAAAGTTACCAATCGGATATTTATTTCTATCAGTATCAATAGCTGCATATTC